GGTTTAGGTTGTGCAGTGGTCTGTGAATCGGGAATCCGACGCCGTAAACCTCAAGCCTCCAAATCTGTCACTCAGCGGACTTATCGATACAAACCTCGCCTGGATTGTCCAAGTTGTGGGCGCCGAAACCTGAACCGCCCAAATTCCCACACGCAGGACATCGAGGATCTCTTGAGCTCTCCAGTGCCGCCCAAGAAACCAGTGGAGAAGGTGACCTGCTTACGTGTGTGAGAAGGCAGGTTTGGTTTCGGCTGGATGCACAGATTTGCCATTGATGCTTGCGTCTGGGCATGTTCGGCACGGTTACATACAGCTCAGCACAGATAGTCTATTTCATGGGTGCATCGAGGACCAGACTTTAGAGGCTCGCAATTCCGCACAGCCCGAGGAGAAAGCCGCGGAGAAGGCTCACGAAATCTCCTTCCGGCTCACGGAGAAGGATCGGAGGATGCTAAACTTCGGGGCCGAGCACGTGCGCATGTTCTCATGGTCTCATGGTTTCTGTTTTGAGCATAGTCGCCAAATGCTGAGCGCTGCGCCTTGAATTGTTTCCTGTGGCTGTGGAGTGTGTTCTGTCCTCATCAGCAGCAAGTTTTAAACTCAATAAGACGAAGAACGAGATAGTTGTACAGGGTCGTCACAGGTTACTACATCCTCAGCTTCGTGTAAACCCGGTAGAAAGCCACCAAGCCTGCAATCGCAACAGCCTCAGCAAACCAGGACAACCACAATGAATGGATAATTAGCTATACTGTCGTTTCAGTCCTTCTAGCAGGATTCGTTTTTGGATTCAGCCCCTCGACCGGGGCCTTTTTTTCGGGAAGCAATGCCACCAGAACCTCACACGACGCTCGAGCCATAACCTCGCAATCCGTTCAATCCAGACGGAAAGCCTTTCTTCGTCCACAGAAACCACCTACGAGCACTGTCGGGCTTAATCCCACTTTTTTTCTGTGTCAATCTCTCACGCATATGTCCTCCGTACTGCTCACATGGAGCCCTTCTGGACTCTCCAGTTGGCTTGAGCTTGAGTCTGCAAACGAACACTTAACTGAGAATCCTACTATGATTGCAAAGTCCTGCAATTTGGGTCCCAGTCCCTGTTCTTCCTGAAAGTCTCACATCCACATTCATCTCAAGGAGCCCAGCTTCGCAATGTGGGTAGCTGCTCGCCTGGCCCAGCTGCGCAGCTTTGGCGCAGCAGCCTCTGGGACAGCAGTGAGTCGGTGATTGAGTGCGTGGGTGGTACGGCAGCTGTTTCAATCCCCAGCATCAAACTCGCTCTTCGGATCAGTACCAGCAGCCATTTTGCTGAAACCATGCCCGCCGCCCCCAGTCCATGAATTTCACTCCACGTCCGACCACGTCCTAATTCCCCAAGCCCCAGGTCGCCACCTCCATAAGCGGAGTTTGCTGTTTCGGGGCTTCTGGAGCCTTACCTGGGGCTGTCGTTCGCAAGGGCATGTCGTGCTCCGACTCCTGGTTCACTGATGTGTAAACATGTGTAAACTGGACAACATCTGCTAAGCGCCCAATAGCAGCAGCGGGGGGGATACATTTTAGTTAGTTATAGAGTGTGTGTGTGTGTGTGTGTTTGTTTTGTTGTAGAAGCACCTCTTGCTGCCAAGATCTTGCACTGGGATCTAGTTAGGACAGTCATGCTTCCCATGACCTCGACGGCATGCGCAAACCAGGTTTTGAAGTATCAAGCCGAACCTGGCAAACGCAATCTATGTTTCTTTAGACCCTTACGTGTGACCTCGGGTTCGAGCCCTCCCCTGAACTCCAAGAGCGATTTTCTGCCGGGGATTACTGTTGTGGGTTGCCCTGCATCAGACATGCAGCTCCTGCTGGCACCATCCCTTGGTACAACCTCACTCAGTTCCTCCGCCCTGGTACGCAGGAATCCGGAAACACTGCATAAACTTGAGACCTTAAAAGCATGATGGACACTATGCTAAGAGCCCTGAAGCCTGAAAGCCGAAACCTCAAAGCCTGAACACCTGACTGACCCTGGACAAACAGGTGTGGGATGGTTCTGGCGTCACAGTTCTGGTGGCCTGTGTGCCGCTGGCAGCCCATGCGCCCTGGTTCCCGGGCCGGACTTAAGAACACTTGCTTGCGGCGCGGGGCTGTGGGATGTGCACGTTTGAGGTATACTGCAGGGTCTACGCTTCAGGGTATAGCACTCGAGGATTTTTCGTACTTATTGACCAAGCTATTGACCGTAGCAAATTCAAGCCAGGGGCAGCCATCACTTTGGAGAACTCTCCGGGGAAGCGTGGTTTCGAATCGAGGCTTCAGGATGTGAGCGAATTCTTATACGGAGTTTCGAGTCTGGATTAGGCCTTCGGGTTTAGGAAGTGGTTGTAGGGTTTTAGTGCGCCTGCGAAAGTGGTGAACATGAACAGCTCCCGGCCAGGCATGAACCCAGCAAGCTGGATGCAACCGGCAAACGGATCAGGAGGTGTAGGTTTTGGAGAGAGGGTGGAGAGAGGGGTCAGGAAAAGGTCATTCGTAAGGCATGGTTTTGGGATGGAGCTTTAGATGCTTTAAGGTTTACGCACGGGGATTGAGACTCGTCTCATTGTCTTGTGCCTTTTGTGGTAAATGCTTCTAGCTCCGCTGGTAGCTTGAGTATGGTCATGAGACCAGTTGATGAACTCGAGTGGTTCGAGTCTGCCGTGACAAACGAGGCTCGGTGTTTTGCATCATAGTTCTAGTTAAACTCTTTGCCACTACCGCAGAACAAAAGTTCGCCACAAGGACTACTCAACACATGCGGCACCTGAGCCCCTTTCCGCCGTAGACTCCTCACACAAAATCCCAAAGGCTCTCCGTCGAGAACTATATAATAGTAGCATAATTTTATTCCAGGTGATTAACTACTCTGCCACATTGGCCACGTAAAACGGACCTGTGGCCAGTCCGCTTCTCCGTGGCATATGTTCATGGCATACTGTGAGAATACCAACCGTAGGTCGAAACCTTTGTCCCGGTGATGTACGTAGATTGCTACATGTTTGGCCCTCTCTGTGTTATCACAAACTATTCCTCAAGCTTGCCCAGGTTCCCCAACATGGAATCCTGTATTAAGGGATGTTGGAGTCTTTTGGTAACTGCTGTTATACTTGCCCTTACACTCACTGTCGGGCCCGGGCCTGAACATGACCCAGACCTGCAAAAACAGCTGTACGAATCCTAAACTCTTCAACCCTCAGCTATCCCAGAGTCCTAGAAAGTCTACTCTGGAGGCGCTAGAATCCCGAAGCGCTCGATGCAGACAACCCGGAACCCGAAGCTGGAACTTCCTAGGTTCGCTGAGCGGTTGCTGGTCGTCAGTCTCCTGAAAGCCGCCACCATGGCTTTGGGTGGGCCCACATTGGGCAAAGACCTGAGCCTGCCTCCTGGTTGCGCATTGGGCTTTGTTTTCCTTTAGCGGGGGTTTTGGGAGTCTTGGCCTCCGGTTCTTGGGTTGGGAGGGTTGCCATGGTGATTCTGATGCCAGCCTCACAGAAAGTTGTTCTTTCCGTAGCCAAACATCCGAGGTCCTAGGCTGCGAATCCCCGAAGCCCTCAGCTTGCCCCAGGTTCTTTAAGCAGCCCGTGGTGGACGAATCGCAAGCGCGCTGCTTGCTGAGGACCCTCCATCTTCTGAGGGTCTACCAGTCACTGAGCCTACCTTTTTTAGGTTTTAGGGCCTTTGGGGTGTTACGGGTTTTGGGTTTTCGGCGGATGCAAGTCAGTTAAGGTTCATTATTTGATATTTAGCTCAGCATTCATTTAGAGGTATGTAGTAATGTAGGCTCTTAGGGTCTTTGGAGCTCGTCGCTATGATTTCGCTTGCGATGTGGTTGTGCGTGATTGCCTGCGAGTTCTCATTGTCAACTCAGGTCAGGCATCAAGGGCAGAGCGGTGCCGCATTTCCCTCAAGATGCTGGTGATCCTCGGCTCCTCAAGAGTAGGCATGAGTTGGCTTTCTCAGGTTCACAGGGGTTTCCGGCGCGCTCCAGTTTGTCATAGAGCCTTGTTTATTCAGGCCCAATCGTCGGCTGTTGTGTTCGCATGTAATATCATTCGAACCCTTCGTTGATATGAAGCTTCTATCCGATCGTAATGTCGAACCTACGATCATGGCAAGTGCGTCACTGCTACCCTCCTGAAGCCTGCCATAGATGCTTCGCAGAGCCGCATTTGCATCGCGATCTGACAGCCAGAACCGTGGCCCACTCTTCGGAGACTCCGAACCGCACGTCGACATTCGGAACCCCGAAAGATGCTACCCCTAAACCTTTGATCTACGTGAATGCGACTGCATGACTGCCTGGAATTTACTGCATGTGCATGGTGATGGGATGCATGACAATGCGTGTGAGACATATTCGGCGGTTGTTACTGCAAGCGCGAATTTGGTGCATGACCTTGGTGATGCTTTCCACTCGGTATAAGGAGGTGTTTGTGCAAAGCCAGCCTGAGTCGCGGACCATATGCTGACTCCCCGTGAGCGCCGACAGTAGGGTGTCCACAGAACATGCAACGTTTGAGAGCGTAGACACGACTGTGAAACATGTGTCGAGGAGGGGGGGACCCGAATTGCCCGCGGACTGTGTTAGGATGGTGATTGGCCATCCCGGCCAAAGTGCTTACCGACGTACTCGAAACCTCGCCAGGCTTGTCCCAGTTGTGAGTGCTGAAACCTTTCAAGCCCCCGGGCCCTCATCCAACCCCAACCAATTAAGCCCCAACTCAAACATGGTAATGTAGGAGCTTGGACCATTCGCAAGTATGATTCTATTGTTCCTTAAGCCCTCATATCCCCATATACCGACACGAGCAGAAACGCCATCCTGCCCAGGCACAAGTCCCAATATAAAGCCCCTTCAGACCCTATGAACAATTCAACGAAAAACATCAAACAAAAAGCGATAGACGCCTGCAAAACCCTGTAGTAGCCCATAGGACCCCTTCTGGTCCAACCTCGACCTCTTCGCGGCGGCACAGTGCGCTGCGAAGTGCGACTCCAGGTCGACTCGGCAAGGGTTTGCGAGGTTTTTTTTCCGTGTTTTTGCTTTCTTTTCTTTTTTCTGGACCTGGGAGACTCAGGGACACAACATTTCTCGTTGTATCGGATCCGTTACGAGGTCCCGCAGGGTTGTACGGGGCGCTACCGGGGTTTAGGGGGCTCCACGTATAATTATAAGTTCTATACAGCTTTTGACAGGGGTGAGGCTCAGCAGTATAGACGAGAGAAGGAGAAAGAGAGAGGAAGAGAGGGTTATATCACAAACACAGCAGCATCCCTCGAAAGTCGAGTACACCTCGCGATTGCGTGTCTGATCTACGTGGCTTTATCGAGCATGTTCAATTGCGACATCCTGTGTGTCGTACCCGATGTCGGTTTCTTTTACGCTTTTGCTCTCGACGGTCTGCCTTATCCTTGTCAGGTATGGCTTTCAACTCTTGGAGCTCCACCTGCAGCGACGCCAGCCGCTACCGTGCACGTACGCTGTAAGACTTAGGGACGTAGGGTTGTGATTCAGGGTACAGCAGCTGGCTGCTTTTCACCACCAGCAACTCAGACCAGACCCTACTCATATTTTACTTCATCATATAATTTTGTAGAATGTATTACTCATAAATATATTAATTATATTGTCCTATTATCAAGCATTTTGTCGGCCGGCCTTCCTCTCCGGCCCAGCCCGAGAGTGAGAGCATAGCAGGCGGGAGTTTCAGAAAATCAAGGACCCTACCTAGACCCTTATGAACCCCTACATGCGGTGCCCCTATGTTTTGTTGTTTATGGTGAATCCTGCAAAACACTTACTTACAAACTCCATAAACCCTTGAAAACCTGTCTAGACCGACCCCTTATGGACCCCCCACCAATCAAGCCCATTCCAGCTCTCTCTACCGAATCCACTGCAAGATCCTATAAGATATAGCAAGCCTTCTAACACTCATGAAATCGTAGCAAATCCGGATCGAGGCCTGACATGCCATTGGATGAAGCTCTTCAGACTATCGAGACCGTGACCGGCGTGGAGGCCCTCTTCAAGCCCCCCGAACCTCGGTTGTTTAGGGTCGAAGGGTTTATAGCGTAGGGTTTTTTGAGGGATGTGTCTCGGGCTTATAAGGTTTTAAGCCTTGGTTTTAGAACTCTTGATGAATAAATACCCCCCGTGACTAAATGCATCCCACGCGGGCCTCGGGCTGAAACCATGTTTTACAGTCGGGCCTAAAGCGTAAAGCACCTACGCCCAGGAACTTAAAGTCTAAAACGTTGGACAGCTTTTTTGCAGTTTTTTGCAATTTCAGACTGAGGCACCTGAAATCCGATTGCTGGAAAAGCTGGCCAAAGACTTGCCGGACGACCAGTTTCTGCATGGCTCCTGGCCATACATTCCAGTCCCAGAACCCTGCGGGACGATCCAAAAAGTAGATCCCGTAAGGGGGTTCACATAAAGTACCCTTTAGTTAGTGATTAGTGTCCCAAAGTCGGGGATATATTTTTTGTTGCTCCCAGGGTCTGGGGTATGGTTGTCTTTGTAATTACTGATATTGGGTTTTTGCTTGCAAGTCTTCCTAGGGACGAAAGCCTTTACAAACCAGATGGCCTGCTGCCTCAACCCTTCGTACTGAACAGTTTCGGCTTTGTGCTCCTTAGGCTGTCTGGTTATTGGCACAGGCTTCGATCCATCCTTTGCTGAGGCAACTCGCAGTGGTGTCACCGGTCCACACGGTTGGCGCGTGCAGAGCTGGGTGAGGATCACCTCACAAGCCTGCACCTCCGTAGTGAGATACTGGAGGCTGGGCGCAATGAGCAATGACAAACCTTGACGAAAACGCAAAGCCCTAGTTAACCTTCCCGAGGCGGCACTTCGTGGTGATGGCTGCGAGGCAGAAGCGCGCTTGGGCCTCGATGACGCGACCTCAACACAGGGTTTCTTAGGGTTTCTGGCTGCCTGAAGGTTTACGAATTCTGTGTCTCTTAAGGCTTTTAGGGCTTCTGCTTTGTAACAGTAGGGTTTAGGGTAGTAGAGTAGGAGTTGATGGCTACAGGCTTGCTCGTTTAAAGGTTATGGCGCCCGGAAGGCCGGAAGTCCCAAAAGCCGATCGAAGACTGTGAGGCTGAAGGACTCAATGCTGACGGTATTGCTGGAAGTTTTGTGGTTTGACTCAATTCCTGGACTGGTTCATGTCATGTCGAATCGTTTCTCCATAGCATGGTCGTGGTGCCCTGCTGATTGAACATAAACCTTCCTCTGCATCAATCCGCAATTCGACTGGTGAACAACCCCTCGAACCCGAAGCAACAGCCAGACTCTAGGCCCGCAAGGCTGCTTCCTGGATGCTAAGCTAATCATGCTAATCCCTGTTCTATAAACTTCAGCCCAGGCCCGGTAGACACCTTTCTCAAACTCGCACCCGCGCCTCAACAACTTTACTATAGGAGCCTTAGTTCAGTCACATCCCGAATTCTGCTTCTGATTTCCCTGTTCTCACCAAGTGTAGACAGCCAAGGATACATTGGGAAGACTCGGACTTCACCCGCTGCTGACCGCATCCTCCCTTCCAGATGAGGACCTTTGGGGGTTTTGGCACTAAGAGGTTTGCTGGGTTTAGGGATCGGGGTTTCGGTGATCCGGGGCTGAGTAGACCCTCCAGGATTTAGAGCTGTCCATAGCTGCACAATCGGCCTTACGTTTCGCGTTTCAATTGCGGCCGAATCTGCTCAACAGCACCGCTGCGAAGTTTACCTTCCATACGACTTGAAGCTCAGGCACAGCGTAGCACCCAGTTGGAACCCGGGACCTTTTGCTCTTCATGATCTGCTGCAATGCTTAACTAGACCAGCCCTGACGCCTCACTAGATACCAAGCACATGCAGTAAAGGTAAGCTTTGCAATCCATAGAGAAGCGTTCCAGCAGCGGTGGGTTTGAGATGCAACATGCATCCTCAGAAGCATTCCTAATTAATCGACATGCATCGTACTCGTTTCATGGACAATGTATACTGCTGCCGCAAGTCGCTCGTACAAATTCCTCGACACTCGCACAGTGTCCCAGCCAGTATAATAAACAATGGTAACTTCCACCACCCCTTCCGAAACCCTCTGAGCTTTATTAAGCTATTAAACTCTGATCGTCGTCAGTTGCACACCCGATGTGCCCCGTATTCCCTACAGGGTCCTCATTGAAGTTTGTGAAGATCCTGAACCCAAAACCCGACCTCAAAAAAAGCCCTCGTGATCAGCGGATGCACAGGCACTCACAGGAGGCCCAACAAAAACAAGCCCTGCTCCATAAACTCTATGTTTGGCTCAAGTTTTGGCTGAAGGCTCGAAGGTTCGGTCGCTCGGGTCGTGTCCTTGGACGACGGGTGAGGCCATTGCACTGGGGGCTCGTCGTGGAAGGCCTGCGTGGTGGTGGTCGGCTCCGGCAGCACGCGTCTGGACGCCCTCCTTCTCCGCAAAGCCGCGGTCCGGCATTGGGTGATTGTCGGTTCCTACGGTGCGATTCAGGGCTAAGTCATGGCAGTGCTTGGGTTTCACATAGGGATCTCTGGGGTGCTGGACGGGCCGGACGTGGATCTCGATGTCACGCCTCAACACAGTCGCGCTTTTGAGGAGATGCCGGACTTGGATCAAGGAGGACCATGGCTGGATAGATGAGCGCGGCCTTCGATGGTGGGACTCGGGCTCCGCTGCAGGAGCGGAGCAGCAGGGGTCAGTCTGTATTTGGGGGTGGAAAATCGGAGGTGCAGATCTCTTTTCCTTGCCAAAGTCAGCCCAGGTCGATCGGCCGGTGTAAAAAGATGACCTTGTTCTTCTGCAAGAGGTACTCAAAGAAGCATCGGGTTGGAACTACCAGAACTTGGCAGGGAGGAGGGTTGTTACACATGGAGCAGAGGCGCAATGGAGAGGGGTACAAGGCTCTGGTAGGACGCGGGAGCACGGTGTGTGCTTCGCAAAACTCGGCCTGCCAAAGGGTCATGGTTTAAAGTACGTCATCTTGACAAGCAGCTGCAAACGTGGGTTGGCGCGGATCACTTCACGCAATTCAGCACACAAGGTCGTTTTCCAGAGCGATGTGAACACGGCTTTTGGGAAAAAGCCAGGATAGAGCAGGAGTTTTGGTGGTGGCGAAGGAAGGATCCTCTGCAAAGTGTTAGTAGAAAAGGGCTGCATCTGCTAAGCAGTTTGAAACACCCACGAGTCGACCAAGGCAAGCAGGCAGGCATGCGATGCCATGGCGTTCAAACACAAGCGCTTGGACTCCTGGTATATCCATGAGAACTCCTACCTTAGCGTTGATTGGCACAGACCATGAGCTTTGTGAGTCCCGTCTCGTTGTGGATGCCAAAATAGAGTGCACAAGACATGAGACCAGACAGAGGGTGTGGACGGGTGGCGTTACCATGATCAAGGGAAGGCCAGCATAGAGCACTTGGCACACTCTTGCGCTAAGCCAACGCGAGGGCATGGCTACAAGGACCCCAAGGAAGTGCGCCCGGCTTTCAAGCACGCCAAGAGGGAGGGAACAGCAGCTTTGTGGAAACAGGCGCTCAAGCTCCGCAAGGAAGCCCGGAAGACATGGGAGCTCGGACGACTACATAGGGCTGGGCAGGGGGAATGGCACTTCTTCAAATCTCTCGCGCAGAGGCCGCAGAGTGCAGGGTTGGGACGTGGGTTTTGCAAAGGCGAGATCCTCACAAGGCGGTGCATGACCAATTTTCCACGGGCTACCATGGTCGGGAGCCAGATGTGGTGGTTGACCCCTGGTGGGGGATGTTCGGGCCTTCACTGTCGAGGAGCTGAGGGTCGGTCTACAACAACTGAAAAGCGGGCAAAGCGGTTGCCTCCACTGAACTTTTGCTTGGCCTTGTGGCGGTCCTCGGAGGGGAAGGGCATCTTCCTGAATGGTATAATCGGATACTTGCGACGGGTCCATTCAGCCGGTATTGGTTATGCTACCCAGGATTCGGGCCCCTCGCAAAGCGCAAGCTCTTCGTCCCATAACTATGGGTTCGTCAATGTTGTTAATCGTGCATTGCCGAGAATATGCCCTCAGACCTGTGCTCAGTGCTCGGGATCAGGTCGTCAAAAGTCTGACTTCTTGTACACGGTCATACGCTTGTTTGAGCTCGCACGGGAGTGGGGAAACCCACTTGCAGTGTTCAAACTAGACCTCGAGAGAGCCTTTGACAGCGTGGATACGCAGGTCCGGCTGGATCGTCTCACTGCCAGGTTGGGGCCGAGCCCCGAGCTGAGTTGCTGGAAAGGGCTCATTCGGGGCACGGTTGGCTTACTGCAAACGCGATGGGGCAGCTCGAGGTTTTTGATATGACCGTTGCAGGTTCAGAATGTGGTCGCTGAGGAGCTGGATGCAGACACGGCAGACACGGGCTCTGATGCAGCATGGGTGCAACAAGTTCCAAAGCAAGTTCAGCTTGACAATGACGTGGTGATGGACCAGGGCGATTAATCCTCCTCGGCAACGGATGCCGCGAACCCTTCTTGGAGCCACAGGTACCCCAAGAATCCGCTACGGCCTCTTCGAGTCTGTTTATGGACAATGGAGAGATGGCCATCGCTCAGGGAGGACGTCATGGCACAGTTCGGGGCAGAATGGCTGGCGTTGTTCGAAATGTGTCGCACCTGGAGCCAGGATGCGGTGTGGTCTCTGCTATCGCAAGCTTTTTCACATGCAGCCAGACCCAGACCCGCTCGATGCGCCACCGCTCATCCCAGAACGAAGCTCTCTTCAGTTACCTCTACGGGTTCTTTTCGAGATCTCCGAGGCCATTTACACACAATGCGAGCAGGGCACCTTGTGGGATGACACAGTTGTCCTTGTTTCGTCGCTGGAAAGCGGAAAGGCTAGAAGCTGTACGAGGGGAGATGGCATAACTCGTGGTGTGGAATGAAGCTGAAGCAGAAACTCAGAGGGCAAGGGTGACATCTGAGACGGGCAACAGGGTTGAGCATGATTGCCTTCCGCAAAATGCGGATTCCAGAGGCTAGGGATAGTGGATGGAAAAAGGCGTTCCAACAAAAACTTTTATAAAATTATGTGAAGCTCAACAGGGCCTCAACCCCTTGCTCCCAGCCAGGATGGCCCTGCATGGGAGCGCCGTGCCGAGGCGCTCTGGCGGCTCGGCCAATGGCCCAGCGCAATCCAACAAGGAAGAGGCGTGAAGACTGCATAGTATAGACTATAGGGTGAGGAGGGTTGAGTTTGATGGTTTAGGGCCTGCATCTCTCATTTTGTATTGGGGTTAGGTAAGTTGTAAGATCAGGCGTGTCCTTTTGTGGATATTCGTTGTCGTTGGTGATGTTTCTGCATGACTGCTTGTAAACTTTCATTCAGATGTTGTGGGGCCTCTGCTGCTCACGCCAGAGAAAACTTTTGCGGTTCCTGGGATGCCCTGCTCACTTGAAGGCTTTCATGCAACTCTGCATGCCGCGTTGTCAGAGATGGCTGGCACCGTGAACTTGGTGGAAGGCCCACTGCTGGAGATGGTGGCCAGCACTATGGAGGCTGTACCTAGGCTAATTAATAGTTGATCTGCATCACGAAACTTGGCATTCCGATATTTAATTCTATTTTGTGACATGGGGTTCAGGGTTGGAGAAGCAAGCGTTTTTGATGCAGTCAATCGAGGTTCGACTGCAGTCTCCGCAGAGCCTCAAAGCTGCAGCTACAAAACTGCAGTCAATCGGTGCAATTTTCAACTGCGTCGACGCCGTGGTGGCTGACAATGCGCCGGCTTCAAAAGGGTCGTCAGTGGCGAACTTGGCAGCCAGCTGGCACAAGGCGTGCAATTCTTACTGATCTACGGTATCCAGAACCCTAACCTGCTAAACCGCCCTATGTCCTCGACCATAAATTCTAGACCCTCGCTAAACCCGGCAACGCCTGGACTTAGACTCTGAAGCATCGCATCGCCAGGTGGGCAGCGGGCAGTTCCTGCAAATCGAGCAGCAGCTGCTGGGCTTTCGTTAAAAGCTTCTTTCGAATTACCATGGTAGCTGGGTAAAGATTTTTCTTTTGCCTTTGTTCTGGAGCTCAAGCCCCGTACAAGAGCACCCATCCGAAGCCCTTATAAACTCACAAAGTTCTGCTAGCTTAAACTTAAGCCTTAAACCCTCATTCCTAATCCCACCGTACAGCTTTCGACTTGGTGACCTTTCCATCCTCGCTAGTGCGCATAGTTCTTCAGCCATGCGAGAGGGAAAAAAATCCCACCGTAGTCGTGCATCTGTTCTGAACTCAACCCTGCAATGCGGGCTCGTCCTTGCTATGTGGGAGGGAAAAAGCTCTGCGGGCCCTCACAAACAAAGCAGGGCACATAAATCTTAAGCTTAAGTTCCAACACAAGAAGAGCTAGGCTGGCCTTGCGAGCGGCCCTCCTTTCGGCTGCAAAGCAGCCGCTTCAGGAGTTTCTGGGCCAGAAGTTAGGGATTAGGGTTTACCACGGCCAGAATACATGTAGTTCGGGTCGCCACAGTGTCCTGTACTGCGAAGGCCTCATGTTTAGCTCCAACATCGCTTATCTCCGAGCTCTGAGCCCCGAGGCCCATGTCCTCGTGCTCTGGGTTCAACTTAGGCTGGGTGGTCGAAGGCAGAAAGTCTTTCACGCTTTTTGGGATGGTTCGAGGAGGAAGCCTTCAAACCCCGGAGCCGTGAAGTGCCGTGAACCTTCCCTGAATTCCACAAGCCCCAAGCCCGAAATCCCAGGTACCGTTTCCTTACAGCCCTGGCTGCTTCAGCACGCGAGGCGGCGCAGTTTCACCGAGGCAGGGTCTTCGATGTCTTGTCGGAGTTTTGTGCGATAAGTGCGATGCAAGCACTTCATTCGGTTGTCGGGATAGTGGCATTGTTGTCATTATGATGATCATTATTGTCGTAGTTCTTGGTATGCTTTCCATTACCATGATTATTAGTATTGCATTATTAATTGCATATGTTTATGTTAATTAGTATGACATAAAGAAGCCCCCACGACAGCCTACACTTCACCTGTGGTTCTACCTCTGACCCTGTCCCGCCCCGCCACAGACCCTGTCACAGGCCCTGCTACCCTGTCCGCCTCTGTCATTTTGGGGCCCTCTTTGCTCCTCATAGGCCCTGTCCACCCCTGTCGCAGACCCTGTCCGTCCACCCTGCCCGGTGAGCTTTTGAATGTACTTGAATCGAATGGCTAAAAAAGCTGGTGTGCGTATGAAGATTTGGCTATGCAGTAGCGCTTGTGCATGACCCGGTGGCGATCCCGGCTCATCATACCGGATTCACCATATATCTAAAACATGCCCCCCCCATTTGGCGATTCCGGTTTTATTAAATATCGTAAACATACCCCCTCACCCTCATGTGGCAATTCCGGCGCATCATATCGGATTCACCATATATCCTACACACGACCCCTCATTTGGCGATCCTGGTTCATCCTACCTGATTCACCATATATCTTGAATTAACCCCCTTATTTGGCGATTCCGGTTCATCCTATATCTTAAACACGCCCCCTCATTCGGCGTTTCGGTTCTTCACACCGGATTCAGAAAATGTATGTATGATTCATATATATATATGAATCTATACATATGTATTTGTTTTTTATGTACTTATTTATTTATTTGTTTAACACGCCCCGTCATTTGGCAATTCCGGCTCATCGTATATCTTACACACGCCCTCTCATTTGGCGTTTCCTGTTCATCATATATCTTCAACATGCCCCCTCACCCTCATTTGGCGAGTCAGGTTTGTCATATCGGATTCACCATATATCCTAAGCACGACCCCTCCTTTGGCCTACCATTTTCACCATATATCTTGAATTCACCCACTCATTTGGCGATTCCGAATCATCCTATATTTTAGACACGCCCCCTCATTCGGCCATTCCGGTTCATCATGCCGGATTCACCATACATCCTAAACGCGCCCCCTCATCTGGCGATACCTGTTCATCATATATCTATAACATGCCCCCTCATTTGGCGCTCCCGGTTCAGCATACATCATACACGCCCCGTCATTTGGCGATTCTGCTTCATCATACCAGATTCACCATATATCTTAAACACGCGCCGTCACTTGGCCCCTCCGGTTAAACATAATTAAATTATATCTTAAACACGCCTTCTCAAATGGCGGTTCCGGTTCATCATATCGCGGATTCACCTTATATCTTAAACCATCCCCTCATTTGGCGATTCCGGTTCATCGTTTATTTTAAACACGCCCCCTCATTTGGCGATTCCGGTTCTTCTTATACCAGTTTCACCACATATTTTCAACATGCCTCGTCATTTGGCGGTTCCTGTTCGTCATATCGCGTTTTAAACACGCCCCCTCGGTTGGCATTTCCGGTTCCTCATATATCTTAAACATGCCCCTCTCGTTGTGATTCGGCGATACCGATTCGTCATATCGGATTCACCGTACGTCCTAAACACCACCCCTCAGTACTAGTACTGGTATGATGATCGGAGCCAACAGCATGATTATCACATGCTTTTGGTTGTTGTTGTGGTTATTATTGTCATTTTCAGCATTAATATTAATGGCAGAATTGTTAATAACTAATAATATTTCATTGCTGTTCTTATTATACAATATGAGTATGCTTGCAGCAAGAGAGTTTTTTTGTATTTTCTGTAGCTCTCCGGGCTCTTCGACGGATAACCAAACCAGGTCTTCGCCTGGTCGCCTGTTCTACTTTCTTTCGGGCAGAGAGCGGGTCTTACTCTAGTACTTCAGGTATTTGAGGTTTGTCAGTCGTTGGGTTTTTTATGCGCAAACAAAGAACAACTTATAGTAGTTTGATGTCAATTAAGACAATTAGGGTTGATAGTTCAAGGCTTACACATAGGGTTTCGTGCGTCGGGGCACCTGACTCCGGCGGGTTAGGGTCCAGCCCGAGCCCGAAACCCTGGAGTAGTTCAGAGTGCAGGACTCGCCCTGGTCGAGCGGGCACAGCGGACGAGTGAAAAAACGAAGCCGAATCTGAGCTGCAGGCGGAGGTTGCTTCGTGTTGCTTTAGCAGTCCAGCTGTGAAGGCAAAATGTCGTATCTTTGTCACAGGCTTCGGGTGGACATGTTCGCAAGGTTCAGAGTGACTGGACACTGTGCTCAAGCTGCTTATGCTGAGTTTCCTGGTCAGTGCTGAATGCCGTGGGACTGAAATCATGACAAAACCCCTTAGCCGACACGCCAGAAGCGTATACAATTGCCAGCCGTATAATTTAACTGCCACAGTTCCGTTTGTATACCATACGACCATACGACTTCAGGTTCAGGTCTGCTTTTGCTTTAACAAGATTTCTGTTGTGTTGGGGGACCCCAGCTGACTTGACAGTGCATCTCTCAGAAGCGGCAATTGACATTTGCAACCCACACAAGAATAGGAAAGCCCACAGTTTCAATCCTCAGCCAACCTCCATGGATCTGATAATTCAGGGTTTGGGGGGTCTATCCCATTCATTTGGTGCAGCCGGTACTTCGTCAGCATCGATTGGAGTCTTTCACAGGCACCTTGGAGCTACCTCGTGCCACAGCTGTGACTGATCTAGCTGATCGCATAACACTGCGAACTGCTGTGTTGCCTTCTGTTTGCTATGTCGCATTCTCGCTATTGACACGGCAATCATATGTTTGTGGTGCAGTATAATGTGGTGTCATGCATTGCTGGATGTACCAATTTCTATTGTAGCAGAATTTCATGTCACGCCGGTACGTGTTCGCACCGTCCATTAGGTGTTGCATTGTACCACTTACTGGCTTCGCAACCTGCTTAAGGCTTAGGATCTCAAGCTCTCCTGACACGAAAACCCCAAACCCACCTGCGAGATCCTTAGGAACAAGCTTGACATCCTCAAGCTGCATTGGGAGCAGGCAAAGTGTCCAGGCATGCAAGATGAACCACCGCGCGGCTCGATACCATCTCTTTGTGCTAAACCCTGCAGCAGTAAATTGAGTATCAGTGTTTCACGGCAATTCTTTGAGCTGTTGACACCCCTATGCAAGGGTTGTCTTGCGGTTATGTAGGTGTACCGACGACTGTTGCACGTGCACCCCATAAGTACTGAAAAAGTGCGGGACTACCCGAAACGTTGAGAGCTAAAGCCTTTGAAGTCAGCCTCAAACGGGGCCAGTGATTTGCGAACTCCAGACAACCCTTGAGATGTGGACGTTGTGAGGATTGTAAGGTTTACACTTGACACCGCAAAACGCTTTGCCTGCCAAAGGGAACCCGATCACCTGAAACTTACAACACAGCCTGAGAAACACTGTCTCTGACCTTGTGACAAAGCCTTCAACACCTCAGGTGCCTCTGGGAGCTGCAGCAGACACAGCAGGCCTTGACTATCGCCAAGGCCTTGGCCAAAGATGCTCGAGAGATCAAGTCTGCGAACAGCTGGTATGCCGAGATTCTGGCGGGCACCGGAACGTGGCTTTCAATTTCCAAGCTGGAGAGCCCAGAAGTCATCGACGCCGAGTACTTTGTCCCAGCGACCAAAGCAGACCCCTGCCACTTTCAGGCTCCGAGAGTTTAAGAGTGGTTCGAGTTTTGGTGAGGGGGCCGGCCTTCGAAGAGTGGTTACATAAGCGAACCTTGGTGGCCCTCACCCCACAAATCCTAAGGCCTGCGCTCGGCGCTTCAAAAAACCCAAAAGGTCCGAAACACCTAAGATCTAGAGCCCAAGCCCTTGAGCCTTAATCCCCTGAAGGCGAGGCGTCAGTTCGCTGAGTTCCTCGACAGCTGCCTGGCAGAGGAGCTTAGCCGACAGCGCTCCGTGCAGTTTTCCCTGGCCAAGGCCGGCCCTTGAGGGAGTTTCGGGAGGGATTTAGGGTTTGGGGTTTAGAGGTGCTGCGGGAAGTCTGACCGGGCGAGCACTAATCAAGCCTGTGTAAAAGGGTTTACGGGTTTAGGGGTGCATCGGCCTCAGTACGGGTTTGAAAAGGGGTTTAGGGCATGGGGGACTAGGGATTTGGGGGTTTATAGTTTATAGGGCTTAGACTGCGGATCTGTTTCAGAAGCCTCGTCGTTTGGCGTTTGCTGGTTTGGAACTGTTCGGAGTTTGCCACCCCGGGGTGCCTGGTGGAAACTTTGCTACCAGTGCCACTGCAAATGCTGCTTTCCCTGTTCGCAATGATAAAGCCTGGCATGGTTGTTCTCAGGATCAGCATTGGCATCCTTACCACTGTGTTCCTCATGCTACGGTTGCTCATGGCTACGTATCCTTACCATCGGTAGCAGGATTCTCACCATTGCAATCAGTCCTCATGTTGAGACCATGTGTGGATGCGAGGACGCGGGGACGGGGCAATCGCGCTTGGATAACTCCTCTGCCTGGAAGACTTTGCTACCTAAATCCTGGAACCTACATGCTAAACCCCAGACTCTGCACCACGACTTTCTAAAATCCGATGCCCTCTGTACTCATATTGACCTCCCCATGCGAACTGGAAACCTATGCACTTCATCCGAAGTTCAACAGCCTATAGTCGATCCCGACCCCCGAATGTAAACCGTACAAGTACCCCTCAGTCGTAAGGGAAGTTGTTACTCAGCCTTCAGGATTCTCGACAGAAGACCGAGGAGCAGCTGGCGCAGGCGCCCTTCTTTCTCGAAAGTTGATCCCCTGTTCCGGCGTGTTTTTCTACGGTTGAACTTCAGGTCAGGTGTCGTGCACGGTTCGAGGGCCCTTGAAGCCGCACCAATGGCTTTCTTTGTTCGGGTCCGTTTTCGAGACCGTAAGCAGGGCATTGAGCCTTGAGCCGTGCGCTTGAAACCCGAAAGCCAAAACCCAGAACATGAGTGCATCCCAAATCCGTTCCCAAAGCCCGAAAGCCTCGAAACCCTGCAGTCCTCAACCCCACATCCGACAGCCCACACCGCAAACACAGAAAAATCTGCAAAACCAAAAGATCAAGGTGGTCAGCCAAATGGAGGCGATCAGCAGGAAGGCCGAAGGCCGAAACCTGAGGGGAGCGTTCCTCCAGGAAAGAGCGATGGGTTAGACTTGAGGTTTACAGTTCAGGATTTTCAGGTAGAAGTTTGAGGGTTGGAGGCTTTATTTTGGACTTCCGGTGTCAGGTTCTGTGGTAGGTTTCTGGAGTTTGTTTAAGGTTGCGTAAAAATGATGTAGCATTCAGGGTTTCTTTCTTCTCCAGGTTAGGGGTGTACAGGGCTTTTTGGCAAAACGGCTGCAGAGCACAGAATCGTGACAAGAAGTAGTCATTGCCGAGCTTTCGAGGTGTGAGACCTTTTCGTACGTACAGCTTGCCTACTCTGTGCTTGGGAGTCTGGTCAATAGGATGAAGCATTCTAACTCAATATCTGAGGCGGCTGAGCTCAAACTTGCCTGGCGTTTCAGGCAACATCCAGGCTACCGGTCACAGGATTCAGGGTGAAGGGCGTAGCCCTTGGCCAGAAGAAGCCATATAATAAGTCTGAGGTCAACAAGACCGGAAGCTGCTTCACAGCCTCCAGCAGCAACGTCGAACGCTTGCGGCCTGGCTCACGGGAGGGCCCCCATGCTTGGTCGTTTTCAGATACTTGTCTTGCTGGGAACGCTAGATTACATTTGGCCTATAGTCTTCATTGTAGTTCTTGTTGGGGGTTACCTTATAGGATCCTACGTATAAAAGTGGCTGAACCAAAAAAGGAACTACCATGGAGACTACAGGCAGGGTTTAGAGCGGATGTGAATCCTCAGGCCTGAATCATCTGAGCGGGCCCGAGGCATTCCATCGTAGCACCGGCGCCCCAGCCCAACGACGCCAACCCAAAGCCTTTGCACGACCGTTCGATTGCAGGCCTAAGGTGCAGGATTCGTTTAGTTCACTTTTTTCGGAGGGGCCGCAAAACCCTAACCCACCGAATGTGAGCAAGACAGATTGGACATGAGGAGCTGCAGCGCCAGGAAGATCAGAAAACCTTGCAGAACGAGGAGGCCGCGGCTTCGGGTAACGAGGGGAATCTGGGGGGTTGTCTGAGAGCTGGGGTGCCACATTTTGGCGTCCGGTATACCCGGGGTCCTACTATGCAGCCTTTGTATTAGGGTCTCTTCTTTTCTTAATCCCCGGCAGTCAACGGCCAGTAGGACAGGGCCGGTTAAAGACAAGGCCGGCCGGCCAAGCAGCAAAAGCACACATTCAACGTTAGGGAAATAAAACACCCCGTACAGGTGGCAGTTGCCATCGATTGCCCAAATCTAGGAAGCTCTTTGCCGGCTGCGGGCTTAGAGAGTTAAAGTGTCATAGAGACTCGCACCCCGGGCTTCCGGATTCCGGATACATTCCCACCGCGTGCTCGGCAGCCAACACCATGCCCCAGCAAAAGTCACAGCCAGCGCGTGGGCAGTTCTGGTCAACGTAAACATGTTGCTTATGTTCCTGCAATGCATGTGTTGTCCGACACCGTGCTGGCTTGACGGGGTATTCTACACGATGCTATTTGAGTCGCTGGATTTAGGACACTGCTGATGCAGGATCGTTCTGACTTATAGGTCTCCAGTTTTCCAGCTTCACATCGTTGCAGCAGACTTGAGATACGAAGGCTCTGAGGAGATCCTTATAAGCTTAGCACAACTGCAAAGAAATACCGCTAACTAACAACTGCTGCGAACAATCAAACGCAAACCCTCCGGACAGGCCAGGCTAGAGGCGTTCGCGACCAACTGTGTCAAGCAGCTGGCACGCTGCCTCAGCGATGGCCAGGGGAACCTCACGCAGGTGGCCTGCCGATTTCTGTCTCTATGGTTCGACTGTCAAGAGTACCCCGGTATTACACGAATTGTCCGAGAGTCCATCCCGACACTGCCGCTCGGCTTCTTTGAGCTGGAGCCTTTTTTTGGTGCAAAGGTACGGACAATCGCGGAGCTTCTAGGGTTTTCAGGTTTTTGTTAAGGCGAGGCCATGGTCTGTATGTGACTATATGAGGCTTCTGCAGGTTGTAGATGGTTTGATTAAAGCAACTTCGAGGATCTCGTCTACTCCGGGCCATGCAGGGCTTCGGACTTGGAAATGGGTCTTGAAGCTTGCTTGGGGCAGCTGCTTTTGTGCCAACCTGTATGGCAGACGAGATGTTTAGGGGAGGTGGTGTTCAACGGACTGGTGCCACTCTTGCAAAGCTTGGTATCTGCCGAGCTGAAACCGGCTGAAACAACGAATCCTTGTAGCCAAACGTGCAGCACAATGTCCCCTTGTAAGCCTCAGAGTGAGGTCGACCCAAGGGCTTGTCGATGTAAGGCGGTGCATCCAAAGGACCAGTTTTGGGTTTCGGATGGAAGGTTTCAGCTTTCGGATCACGGGACCCAAGAAGCATACTTCAGATTGAAGCATTGGAAGCCCCTGGGTCAAAATCCACAGGCTCAGTATCCACGGCATGACCCCAAGTCCCGCAAAGCTCTCGCCGGAAAAAAACCTTAAGACAGCCCAAACATAGAAAAACATGGACCGTCTTGCCAAATTGCCCACAGTGGTAAAACCCCCCTTGCCTCAGGGATACCTTTATAACAAAACCTCGCCAACAAAAAACTTAAGCCCTGAAGCCACAAACCCAAAGGAATCAAGCGCCGTTGTTGCCCTTCTTGTACCAGCTCGCCTCGCGACTGGATCTCAAGGACATGGCCAGGGGGTGCAGGGTCCACCGACCTGACAGACCTGAGTTCTCTAGTCCACCCAAATTGTGGTAAAATCGTTGCCTGAAGCTCTGAAGCTCTTACTAGTATTCGTGGCTGTCATAAACGTCGACAGTCTCAGGCTCGCATGGCTATGCTCGTCCCTTTTCTCTACATGCTTGAACCTGGATGTGTATTTCTCCAAGACTAGAGATTCCCGCGACATCGTAGGGCTCAGGGGTTCCGGAGTGTAGAGTGTCGGGGTCGAGGCGTTGCAGGCTGGATGCAAAAAGAGGGTCGGGGTTCAACCTCAACCGGACTTAGATGAGCCCCTCAATCCTAAACTAAGCTCAAACAGGCTAGGGAGTGGGAGGGAGAGGGAGGGAGGGTCTACGTGCTATGTCCTGCTACACTCGTGACTCCTTGCAGACTGACAGCGGGGCAAAGCCATGGCGCAGACTACTGTAAGGAGTGACTAAGGTGATCTTGGGCATGGATGCTGAACCGGACGAGCGACAACATCTCGAATTGGCGTGTTGAGCACTCGCATCTCGTTCCCACAATTACTCGGATCAGTCGCTGCGAAGGCTGGGCTCTCATGGTCAGAGCGGCCAGAGGAGCGCACCTACATCGAGGGCAGGTGGGCACCCAGCGCGATCGTCGTGCTCACTCCGACCACGAGCTTGTGCGCGGCACGCTCCCGGACACGACCGAGCGCCACAAGATCGCCAACACACGGGGACCAAGACATCTGCGGGAGGGCTTTCGGGACCACGTGCATGTGTGACACTTGGTCCAAAACATCCCCTGGGCGAGGGCCCGATCGTCCCGTTGTTTCCTCGATGCTGGCGGGGAAAACCGTCTTGCAAGCCGTCACAGCGACCCAGCAAAACCCAACGACAAATCGCCACTGGAGTTTTTGCCGCCTCCCATATGGACGACGTCTAAACTTGTGGCGAGAATCCAAACAACCAGGAGACACTCATCTGCTTGGAACAGCGTTTAGCCGGACACGGCCTCCGCATCAACCACAAGAAGACGTGCGCCATAGGAATGGACCCCCGGAATAAAATTAGACCTCAAGACCGAACGTCAAAATATCAACAGAAAACGGCCCCCGAAGTTTCAGATGCCCTGAAATCTGCAGTTCCGAGAACGAACCGACACTCGAAGGAGGGCCTCTTTCAGCAGACACTGGATGAGCTTTTGGCTTCTCGTCCTCTGAAACCTAAAGGTTGTTGGGCTTACAGAGTTGCATGTCGCGTTTCGAGTCCAGTGTCTTGGGATGTGTTGCAGTGTTTCTCGCAGTGTGTGTAGTCTTGTGCCTAGCAGGCTCTAGGTCTAGGACTTTCGGTTCGCAATGATTGACGGAGGGCTTGATTCGACTCTTAACAGTGCGATACTCCTCGGATGACCCGCCGACGAAGACTTTGAACGGCTACCCCTCAGCAGCCACTTGTGTACCCGCACTGGAAGAACTGCCGCCACAAGCTCCTGAATCTTGGACCTGCCGACCATTTCTCCGAACTTCAAGCCCACCATACTTGCCCTCGTCATAGTTTGCAACATCATTTCCCCAGAGCCTCTGTCTGATCATTTAGACCTCGGTCGCTAAACCCTGAACGGCCTGAACCTTAAACCCGAACTGAGACCAGGCCCGTTGGGCCTTGATGCTGAAAACCTAAGACCCCCTTTTTTCTTTAGGTCTCCCTCGCTCAGCGTGGCCCGCAAGCACTTTGGCCGCTGATTTTGCTCCGGAACGGCGACCGTGTGCAGAAGGAACTGTTGGGTTCAGGGCTCCAGGACTACAGGGTTTTTCTGTATTGGTCGCATAGACGCAAGGGCTATAGGTTCAGGGATTCGGGTGTACAGGTCGAAGAAGGGTCACTCGCGGCTGAATCTTCACAGAGGTTGATGATGGCAAGAGAAGAGCCTCACTCCCCTTTTGTCTAACCTATCCCGAACTAGTGTTGAGGGTGATGAAAGGCTGCGTAGATCTGGTGAGGTACGCACCTCGAGAAACCAACTAAAGCCCTCAACCTAGGACCTAGGAACTCCTGAGCCCAGCAACCCTTTCGAGTCCAGCCAGGACATGCAAGGCAGGGCACTGCACAGACATGCGCCCAACAAGCTGGCCGCTGCTAAGCGGGTGCTGGAGCGACTGCGGAAGCTCCCCGCGCTGAAGTCGGCTCCATGGCTGAGGGCTCTTATGAAAGGGGTAACGTATGCCCCAATTCCACAAGTCGGTTGAACTTGGGGTTCAGGCTTAGTTATCGCCCAGGGTGGAATCCGAAGCTAACCAGATACACTGTACCCCAAAGGCCCTCGACTTCTAATCCGCAAACAGGAATGCCCGAAAGGTAGTGACGCCTCGAATCCCAAACCACACCCAGAGTTTGCCCACATCCATAAATTGAGGGATGAAATTTTCGTTGAGGCTGCCTATTGAAACTTACAGCCTAAAGTCCTTGTTCAGGCCCCAGCCCCATGAGGGGGTGACGACGATAACGATGGGGAAGGTGTTGATGGTGATGTTGGCCGTGCTGATTTTGATGTTGATGAAGGTGACCATGAGCAACATGATGATCGTGCTCATCACAAGGATCGTCATGCTGATGATGTGTATGAGATTCCGGCCTAGGTGTTGGAGACCGTCGAGACCCTGAACAAGTTCTACCTGGCCATAGCGGCCCGCTGCCCAGCGCAGTTTATGCCTTGTGCAGTTCAGGCTAGGCTCGATGCGAAAGCATGGGGAACCTTTTTTCTCGCCGTTGCGCAGGAGTTTCCGATTGACAAGAAGAACCGCGACGCAGAGGTGGCGTTGTCACGAATCCCCGAGTTCAAAGCCGTGACGAAGGCGTCGTAAGCTTGTTCTGTGTCTTGTCCAAGCTCTCTTGTCTTTGAGGCCACTGGGTCGAAGTGTTTTCGCTTCTGAGGCCGGCACATAAGAATCAAGAACTTCGGGAGTCCCCAAAATCCGAGGCTTATTCTGGCGGGAGTTTCACAAAACACGACCCCATGCAAACTCCATTTAGTCGCATGCATAGTTTGGGACCCGCTATTCGACCCCTTATCGAAATCCCTAGAATGCAGGCGCTGCAGAGCACAAACATCCCAGTTCCCACCTCATCTGCCGTCGACTCTCACATCGAAGGCTTCGCTGACACTGGGTCGCAAGCATTGCGCTTGGGGATCCTTTTCGGATCTAGGTGGCGATCGATCTAGGAGGAGCAACAAGCAGCTTCCGCGGTTGCAGCAACACTGGGACAGCATCAAGAACAGCAACAGTAGACATAGGAAACATGTTAGAACACTATGTGTGTTCAGGGGCGTCTAGAGTTTTTTGAAGCTCTCTTTTTCCGCGGCCACTTGGCGTCAGAGGGTTTATGTTTTCAGGTTCAGAGTCAGCTTAGAGTTAAGAGTTTAGGGTTTAGGGCCTCAGTCCTAAATCCTAGATCTAATCCCTGAGTGTCACGCACGGCAAAGAAGCAGCGATGCGTCGTTGCATCGGAGAGCCAGGAGAATACCGATCAGAGTCGGCTCTAAAGAGTTGATTTAGTTTTGGGCTGGACTCCACCATGAAACGCTTACATAAATAGTATCCTAGAAGTTCATAAGGCCTAAACCACAAGCCGTGATATACCCCTATAAGTGCCCATAAGCCCCAAGCCCCCCCCCCGCCCGTATAACACCCGGTGGATCTCGCAAGACGACAAACAAGACGAACACGAGCACGACCACGACAACCACCACGACCATGACCATCAAAGTAAGCGCACGGCAACGACGACAGCAGCAACGGCAGCAGCAACAGCAAACAGCTGCACTAGCTACTGTTGTTGTTCTTGTTGCTGTGTTGTTGATTTTGCGTTTACTGCTGCAGCTACTACTTCATTACGACGACGACGACGACGTGCTGCTGCTGCTGCTGCTGCT